AGCAGTCGAGGTAAACCAAGGTAGATTTCAGCCAATACGCCCACACTGAAACACATCCCGTCTCTCGCTCTGTCCCCGTCTCTCCAGTCCGTTGTTTTGCTCCAAGTTACGGTCAAACGCGTCAGACGCTTTATGCATATGCACGCAGAAAAAGTATTCCAAAAACAATGGCCGGCCAGATAGAATGAAGCGTAAATGAACAAATAGAGCAAAATCCAGTACGAGGGAAATAAAGAAGCCCTAAGACGGTTTTCTTCGCTGTGAAATATAATTAACCTTTCATGGGTGCTAGTCGGGTCTTCCGTACACTTCACAATAGAGGGAATATGAAAGGCCTTTTAAAAGGCGACATTTCTAATTTCTGTGAGATTACTTCTGTTGTCACAGTGTCCACATTCGGTCCTCTATGGCTGTATGGAGCACTTCCGTCTTGCCGGACGCATAGGATATTACTCTGAAATGTCAGTACCTGAAGACGAAATCAAACCCACAGCTCTCAAGGGATCTCGATGAATGTCATTTTTGTTCCTCCCTCAGTCGTGGAATTGTTTCCATCACTAATAAAATGACAACCACATGTCCCTGATATGTGATGGTTATCGTACAACACGCATGTAAAAAATAATTGAGAACTGCCTCCAAAACATGCAAACACCATTGTCGCTTTTCCTCGTCTCCCGATAGAGCCAGATTAAGCTGTCAGAGACGGTGAGACGCTAAGCTGTTGTTTGATCTACAAATGAAGAGTAATGAGGGGCACTGGCAGCCAAATACAGTCCCACACATCTCCGTTCCTCCAGGACAACATTTCAATTCATGCCTGCATTTAGATGTGCAAATCTGGCCAACGGAGGATTCAGGTGCCTCTTCCTCTCTCATCGTTCATCTAAGTCTCGTCGCTCTGAAGTTGTTTCACGGAGGTGGTGACTGTTGCGTTCTCCAAAAGGACCTTCATTTCCAGGCTTGTTTACATCGCGCGCAAGAAACGGACATGCACAAACATTAATGAGCTTAACGAAGAAGCTGCGAGGAATATTAATTAGACTTGCCAAAGAGCTCTAGGCTTAGAACCGCACCGACAGAAGGCCCCTCAGGGCCACTGTGGGCACAAGACACTGTTTGAGAGACAGATGTCAGAACAGGATAGCATAGGAAGCAGCTTTTGCAAGAGAGTTCATCAAAGCCGACAAGTTTAAGACAGAAACAAATTGTGTGGTAAACATGGGTGAGCAACTACTTTAATATGAATGTTTTACAAGTGAATGGAATGTTAATGATTGACAATTGCTTTTCGACAGGAAGGATTCGTGTGCGTTTGTAACACAAGTCGTCAACCAAACCTGTTCCCTGGTCCGTGAACCGTTCGCAAGATCCAAATTCAAATAGTGCCATTTGTTTTGATCATCAACGAGCACCTCTCAGTGGTCTGTTTTAACCTCTATTAGGCAGGATTACAAGGCTGCTAGCTTGCTGGCATTTGGTAAGTGTCACGGTGACAGCACTTGGTGGCGAAATGCTGGGCTGTCAGCAGCAAGCTTTATCAACAGGCTTTTCTCCTGCACAGAGTGTGAACTAATAAGCCTAGAAATTACAATTGCCTCCCTGCTGAATCCCCGATAGCTGCAAATAATGATATCAGTGCCCTGCTAATCTCCTCGGCTCGCGGTTTGGCATCAACCTATTGAGTCACCTGTCATACTCATGTCTGATGAGGTGAACTTAATCTCACCGTCCGTAATGACAATAGAGGCCATTTGGATGTTAAGAATGATATTTGTCAAAGTTTCCTGTCTTTTTTTTGTCCTTCAACATCTCTTTCAGACAGTGCAATTGAAATGCCCTGTCAAAATGCATGAATCCCTAGACTTAGTTAAGACAGATTCTGATATGAGTCCTATTTCAATTTGATTCTCTATTCATGATTTCAAAAGATCGGATTGAGGTAGACAAGTTTTCATCACTACGATCGACTGTGAAATGCAAGCATTTAGATACAGCCAGCGATTATTTTCGCTGATCTCTATAAAATCACGATAACAGTTTTTGATGATGACATGGTTTTCACCACATGCCAGTACATTTTTCAGCTTTAGAATGCTGCAGTGGCATTGATAAATCAAATCTGTATTCTGTGTAACGTTACTGATCTAATGTCCAGTACATATACTTATTGTAACAATACTGTTACAATACAATACATTCAGTCAGTCTAAAGCACTGAAAAGCCTGCTCACTAATAGGTGAATTGCAGCAGTCAGGTAGAGCAAATCTATATGCGCTTGTGTAGGAGGCACCTCAGTCAGACCTTGCATGGTCACCAGTCTTCAAATGCTCCCTTTGTACCAATCTATTTATGAGCACATCCAATTTACAGTGACATCAGCTGCAGCCCAACAGCAACAAAACCACGACAAATTCTTCCATTATGCCCAATCTTAAGAAAAGAACTAGTTCCAGCACTTGGAGATATGAAGCAAACAGAGGTCACTCCAGGTATGTGCCAGTGCCCTCTCTCTCCTGTATTATTCAGTCCCATCAAGAGAGCTGAGCAGAGATAAATTGACCTCAGAGACACACGCAGAAGTACATTGAGAGTTAAACTAAATGTTCTGGAGAGTGCTGAAAGAGGTGCCTGTCTATTCACTGCCCGGCTCTCTATTAACAGCTGTATCTGAACCACTTAATGTTCTGTGCCTCTTTAACAATTTAAGCTGTTTAAAAATGTCTTCTGTCATTTTGCACAGATTAACGATTAAAAGAGAGATGGGGAAAAAGGATGAACTCCAATGCACCGTGTGAATGACACCTCTAAGTGTCTGAAACTGAAACAAAGAGGACCAATTTGAAACATGACAAATGTCCTCAGTTTAACCAATCCATTACTTTTAACCATTAGAAAAACGGTCCCTATCACGCAGTATTAAATGGACTACAATGTGACTATAGAGGTATGGCATGACAAAAGCTATTGTTTATTCTTTAATTCTTGACAGTATTATGGACAAAGCAAGAACAAGTCCCACTGAAAAAGGTTTTTGTTTCTGATAAAGGAGCAGTACTTTGCAGTGCCATCATTTCCCCTCTCTTCATTAGGCATTGATCATTCACACGGAAAACTGTCATTAGATAAATGACTGCTTCCCTCTGCTGTCAGATTAACACTGACAGCACAATCAGTACTTTCTTATGTCTGTGTCGACAAAGAATCATTTAGGTACTGCCATATGTCTACTGTACACCCTGCCACAAAGTGCAGCAAATAACTGTTGTTGACCATGTACTTTGAAGGGAAGTAGATTTCTACCACAAATTTCCCTGTAACCTTTTTTTCTTTTTTTTCCTTTTTTTAAAAGATGGTTGTAACACTTGTTGAAAGAGATTAACTTAACGGTATTGTTTTTGCACAAACAGTACTACAGCAATGTCTCCTCTGCTATTAATCACTGTCAACACTTTAACACTGGCCCCTTATACAAATTCAGTTTCGGTTCAGTTTAGAAAATTTGAAAGAACAAAATGAGTTTGTTCTCTCAGGAATGTTTCCAGGTCATGCAGGGACTATTACAAGCATTGTTTTAGTTTCTTATAATAAGACAAAAGTGCGTTGCATTCAGTATTAAATTAAAACTTATTATTATCATTATTATGCACTTTCTGTCCTGTCACTGCTTATACTGATGAGCCATGGTAACAATTTCTGCTCCTTATTTAAGTAGAGGTGCAGTTGTAATAGAATGTCTTCCTGTCCTGTTTCTGCAGTCTCACCTTGACATAAAAATAAGCGAACGCCATTGTTTTAAAGGTGTCAGTAACATTTAAAGCTGTATTGAAAATGGAAACATGAGGATGATACATTCACACTTACCACAATGTGAAAACTGAAACGCAGCATTCTCCTCTCTAACTGTACGTGGCATTTCCTAAAGTATGCATTCTAATCAGGACCAAACAGACAGCCCGTTCTCTGTGTTCAATATTTTTTTCTCGAAATAACTGCCTGCTTCTCTTCTGCTGCAATTTAAAATCTGTTTGGCTCCCAGGAAGAGGAGTATTATTTCTGCGGAAGAGACACAGCCGTGCTAATGAGCGTGGTAATAAACATCATTATATTTTAAGTGTCATTCTGGTGTTCACAGCAGGGAATGTAAGAAATCTCTGTAATAATCTGCTTTTGCATCTCACAGTCAAAGTGACAGAAGAAGCTGTCGCTTTAATGCCACGCAATCATTAGCGCGTCAGATTATTTTGATGCCGGTGAAGGAAAACAGTAATGAAGATACATTAACTAGGACTAATTTGGTTGTTCTTCAGTTCAAGTCACAGCCACGCTGATATTTGGTTTTATTCGCACTGCTGTCTCAACAGAAGTAGTGTGCCGCTTGAACAAAGGGCTAGAGTATGTTAAGTGCTTTTGAAATTGTGAGCTTTCCAGGCAGCGGAACCATGCCTGATGAAAGGGTGTGAAATACAATGTGGAAATCGATTTCACAATCTCCTCGTTCATTGTGCCAGCGGAGAGGCGCTATGTCAGTGCTACACGGTGCATGTCTGTACATTTAACACACTCAACAATGAAGGACTTAGCAATTTATGCTACCATTGTTAAGCTTGACAAATTAATGCAGGTTTGAGTTCGGATGAGAGGTAGACGGGTAGGAAATTTCAATTGGTCTGAAATTGACTGGATTGCTGATATAATGTAGTACCACTACAGTTGCATTTCTGAAGACAACTTTTGGATTTTTGTGGCCTTGGACGGCAAAAACCGAAGGCTTAAACATTCCCCGCTGAAAACAAAAATACATGGGGTGGCATCTTAGATTGTACGCAAGGCGTAATTAGCATGCTAAGCGCTGCTAATGGCAAGTAAGGAGTAAAGCCCTGAGCTCCTCTCAGAGTGATTGACATCTGAAGCGCACTTGTCAAGACATGTGATGTATTTGTGTCTTCGCATCATGTTATTGTTGTTATGAGCTGGCATGGCTTTTTCCTCAGTGCATGTGTCCGTTGAATATAAATGGCAGCTCAATGTCTGCTGATGACAAAAGGCCCACAGAATAGGAAGCGATGGGACAGGCAGACAGAGCGCGAGCTGGTTTCTAGAGCCCTGTCTGTACCATCTGTGTGGAAAACAGGATGCAAGCACAATGAAATTAAAAGCCTTTCGCTTTCTGATTAATGGCAGTGATACACGTCAAGCCATTTAAGCATATTTAACACGACTATAGCAGAATGCAGCTGTTCTTGAAAATGGCTGGGAGACAGGGAGACGAGGGCAGAGAGAACGAAGCAGGCGTGGAAAGCAAAAGAAAAAGGGCATGCAGCATCTCGCAACCTCTGTAATTCCTCCCAAGGGGTAATAGGTTTCAAAAACAAAAATGCCGTCCACGTCTGAAATCATAACAGCAGACATCCCTAAGTTTTCGGTGCTTTTAATCTTCCTTCGACGAGCATTCCGCGCTTTCAAGTGACGTGCCTGACGGTCGCTTGTTGTCTCAAGTAAAACAGATAAATAGATACCTAAATGAAAGAGGATGAGCCTGGGAGTTAATTAAAGGAGGTCTTACTGGAACTGTGAAACGAAATCACAACAGCACCGTCCTGCTCATCGCTATAGATGGCAAGTTTGCTTCTGAGACTCGGGCCAAGAAAAATAAACAGCGAAACAAGCAGAAGGCCATTCACAACACCCCAAGATACCTATTATGTGAGGGGAGGAACAAATTATGCCCTGGCAAATTGCTAATGATGAGCCAGTGATGTCTTGTTAAGTGACATTGTTTGGCCTCAGATCCTTTTGTGTCGGCCTCGTGTTCCTCGCCTAACGAGAGACAAGGAAGACCGAAGTGATGCGTTTGGTCCTCCTCTTTTTTTTCTGTTTTTGTTTTGCACAGTTAACTCATGTCTGCATCTTCGCTCGGCTCTGTCACTTGGCATCGGCAGGCCTGATTTGGCAGAGAAGAGCATGCTAGAGTGGGGCTGCGCAGCGGGAGGGAGCCCTTTGATGGGGACCCCCTGGGAGCCTGACGCCAAGGCAGCAGTAGGATCACAGATGTGGCAGCTTTCATGTAACAGTTAACTTTTTCCTAATTAAAGTCGCCCAGCTAATTACAGGCGGTTCTATCTGATCATTGGGAAACAGGATAAGGTATAGTCGCACAGGCGAGGACGGCTCACATCAAAGATGTGCGGCAAGAGCGGCGACTGGAGCAGATGGGGGTGAAACGGCGGCTCTTTTCAGGGATTTGGGCTCACCTGGACGTAGGAGTGCATCAGTCACCCAACACGGCAAGGCCCATCTCATTTGCAACAGTTCCTTCCCTGAATGCTGAGCTGTAATTATGAAAGAAGAGTCGAGAAAAAATGACCAAAGAAAAAAAATCCCGTAATTAGCAAGGCAACTCCAAGCACAAGAAATGGAAATTAGTCACAGTGTTATAAATTAGCCTGTGCATACATTACGTGAAATGAACACCCTCGGGGCCACGAATTAGCGCTTTTGGCTGTGCACCCTCATGTATCTAAATAAAACATTCCGTCCTTGGTTATTATGGGCTAACAAAGAGACATTTCTTACACAGTCATTCTCTACAAATTGGCCACACACACATCATTTAGGAGGGCTATATATGCTACAGGGAGTGTGGGCTGTCTGATGGAGGAGGGGGGAACGCCACTCATGTATTAGCATCAGGTGACGATCGCATTACATTTATAGGGGCTATTGCGTTTTCTCAATATTCAGAAAAGTCCATCAAAATCATACTGGGTTCTGTTAACAACAGCAAACAGCTAACAAATTAAAAGACACAACGTGAAGTGCATTTTGTCACCGGGCTTCGCTGTCCATTTGGACGCGGCGGAGGAGGGAGACGAGAAAGAGGCTTGGGGGTTTTAAAAAAAGGCCAGCAGGCGCTGTTTTGATGAGTCTTATCTAGAGCGATTATTCATACTTGTCCTTCTGCTTGAATTAAAGCAAGAGCGCCACTCATGTATTAGCATCAGGTGACGATCGCATTACATTTATAGGGGCTATTGCGTTTTCTCAATATTCAGAAAAGTCCATCAAAATCATACTGGGTTCTGTTAACAACAGCAAACAGCTAACAAATTAAAAGACACAACGTGAAGTGCATTTTGTCACCGGGCTTCGCTGTCCATTTGGACGTGGCGGAGGAGGGAGACGAGAAAGAGGCTAGGGGGTTTTAAAAAAAGGCAGGCAGGCGCTGTTTTGATGAGTCTTATCTAGAGCGATTATTCATACTTGTCCTTCTGCTTGAATTAAAGCAAGAGTGCTGGAGCCTGTTAAAGCCAAATACTTGAATGGCTAGTGAACTCTCACCTTCGCACGCATCCATTTAGCTTGCAAATGAAAGCCAAGTACAGTCAGCGAGAGCCATAATGGGCCTTTCTTCTTGCAGAGTGCGGTCATTACATACTAATTTCTTCTGGAAGCTCTTCAGGAATTGAAACACTTGGCTGTGGTGGCCCAGCCTCGTGCTGAAACGCACAGGCCAACAATGACAGCACACAAGGTGTTTGTTTAAGGCCTACTCATGGCAGCTGACCACAATCAGACTCAGCTGAAGAGGGCTGATTGCAGCTTGATGCCGCACTGTGTTCACTGAGAGACAAATCCTGAATATCGTATTGGACGCACAATACAGTCATCAGTATACAGCATAATCAAGTGCATTCCTAGTCCTAAAATCTTTCTTCTAGTCATTTTTAAGTCATTTTTATCCCACAACACTGACTACCCAAACGTTTTTTTCTCCATGTTTATATGTACTATATAATGTATGCATATTTTATATACACTTGAAATATTTCACTGTAGTGGTGGACCGTACTACTATGGTTATACTGTATATATTGCACAATAAATGTGGCCTTATTCTGCATTGCTTTAGCAATAATTACATAAATTAATTATGCAACACGGAAGCAAGACAATGTGCAACTTGCGATGTATTAGCTGCTACAGGAAAATAACACGAAGTATAACAGTAACAGTAAGCGCAGTAAATAGTAAAACTATTTGCACTACAAACCAGTGCAGTTGTACCTGCTCGTACATTAAAAATAAAGCAGAAAAACAGAAACACTTATTAAATATTTAGGTTTAACCAGAATTTATTTATTTGAGAATAAAAAAGGGTGTATTTTAATATCAGATATTATTAGCCTAACAGAAGACAGAGACAAATAAATCATATTAACAACATGCCATTACCACTTTGCCCTAAAGATACAGTTGCTGATGTAAACACATGTATGGATGAATGCATGTGTAAGTGTTGTGATTTGCAGACCAGCATGTGGCTTACTTGACAGGTCTCAGATGATGCATTTTTGGTTTACATTCACCTTCGGAAAGCGAAGATTTAAAAAGAGCACCAGACTGCTATCCATGCATCACCTTCTTTTAGAGAGGTTGCTGATTTGATTATGCAATTAGGCAGGTGGCTGATTAAAAGCTTCTCTAATAGAGATCATGATTAGCCCAGTTCAAAGCCGTTTATAGTCCAGCCATTCAGGATCTGCTTAATTCTGTACATTCTAATAACTTTGCAATTTATTCCACAGCAATACCTTAATCAACAATCAAAGTTTGTTTTTTGTTTGGTTACTATTGTGACTATAAAATGCAATAAGGGTAATAGTGTTGTCTTTAATTACAAAATGATTCAAGCAGTTGCCATCAGTTTGCTATCTTTATCTCACCCCTTCAAACGTGTCATCAGTGTATCCTGTACTTGAAATGCTTTTCTAGGAACTCAGCAAAGACGACGCAACCTGTCTGTCTGCCTGCCTGCCACACCGTGATTAAGACATCACAGTAATCCGTGTTTGCATTGCTGTCTGCATGCGAGTTTGTGTGTGTTTGGGTTTGTGTGACGTGCCCCAGTGCTAAACACACAGAATTAGGTTCCTTTTTGACACCACCGGGAATTGCATTAACTATATTCCCAATGGAGATATGGCAACACTTCCAAATAGCTCCAAAATACACTCTCAATATTTAGATTTTTTTTTTGTACCCTCAGATTCCAGATTTTCAAATAGTTGTATCTCGGCCAAATATTGTCCTACATACATCAATACATCAATGGAAAGCTTATTTATTCATCTTTCAGATGATGTATAAATCTCAATTTCACAAAATTGACCTTTATGACTGGTTTTGTGGTCCAGGGTCACAAATGGAAAAATGAAGAAAAAACATCATGTAACAAACTGATTTCTGCAGAAAACATTAGTTAGGTGAAAATTCCCAACTCCAATTTCCTCTTAGTCGCGCTCTCTTTTGCCGTGACTGATTTCATCCACTAGAAAATCCTCTTCCTGCTCTCTTGCTCTGCTTCTTTACCTCTCACCAAACTCTCGTTCTTTCTAGCATTCTCACTTTCCCTCCCTCTCCCTCTCCTCTCCTCCCTTCCCTTTCTTCCCCTCTCTCTATCTCTCCCTGTCTCTGTCTCTCCATTGCTTGCTCAGAGAAGCAGCCCATGTTTACTTGCCCTTATCCAGCAGCCTAATCCCTGCAGCAGAGAAAGACTCCACTAAATAGGTGCTGGAGAAAAAAAGAGGCGAGGGGGGACAGGCAGAGCCATTAAAGGAGAGTTTATCAAAGTCGCTCAATCTGTTATCACTCCTGTCCCTCTGTCTCCCCCACCAGCCTGCCTCCCCCCACTGTCATAGAGCCACTGATTACAGCCTGCCGTGCAGCTCGCTTTTGGGTGTGCGAGTGTATGTGTGTGGCTCCTGTCCCCCACGTGAGAGCAAGTGTGAGAAAGAAAGACAATTTTCTCTCAAAGCTTCGAGTGAGTCTGTATTTGTATGGCTTTGGACGAACCAGATGGGGAGAAACTCCTTAATGCTGTTTGTTTATTCTTGTGGCATGAGGGTTTTAGCCTTTATTATTATTATTATACTTATTTATTATTTCTGGCTGTGCATGTGCGTGTGTGAAAGAAAAGATGCTTGTCCCATGGTAGTAAGTGTTTGTTATTGCGTACCTTCCATATTTTTTAGCTGGGTCATGCTGGCAAGAGGACCTATTGTTTTGGAACTAGATTTGTTCTATTAGAAAACAGAAAAAAAGTCACTAATTGATGCTTATTTAATAATTTACTGTAAACAAATATTGAAAATTCTGATCAGTGGCACTCACCATGGTCTTCTAACTGTGATCCAGCTGCACAATTAATCGGAAATAAAACCGAAAACGTGATATGGCTTAGTGCTATTATCAAATCGCAAAGGCTGCAATTTAATTAAATAAATATATGCACTGCATGTTTTATAGCATGGCACGGACTCTTTGTGAACGCAAAATGCTCCAAACATCTTCCCATACTTGTAATCAGAAGCTCTTATCAACAAAAAATAATCTTTAAGGGCTCCCTGCGGTTTTCCATTAAAATACATTTTGGTGGTTTAACGTTTGAAAACTAAGACGGCCATAAAAATTAGTATTCAATACAATATTATCATACTATTTTTCTTAAATACTCATTTTTTTAAGTGAAATATTACAATAGAAATATTATTATATACATATAATATATACAATATAATATTGTAATATTTAGGTGTTTTTTTTTAGTTCAGCTTATAATTTTATTTAGTAATGATAATAATAATGATAACAATTAATATTATTATTAGTTTCTGGCTGAGTATGTGTGTGACAGGGAATATGCAAAAAATTCAACACTTTAACATTTGAAAATGAAGAAATAAATACAGCCATAGATTATAGTATTGTCATTTCACTGTTGTATTGTAGAATAAATTATTATATTATGTTTCCCATATATATATATATATATATATATATATATATATATACACACACATGATGCACACACACACACACACACACTATTGTAATATTTATTTTTTTGTTTACTTTATATTTTTATTTAGCAAATTATTATTATTATTATTATTATTATTATAGCCAATTTGATATACAGTCACAAACTTGTGGCCAAATTATGTAGTCCTACAAACAAACTTAACAAACCT